ACATATTCACACATTCAATTTCTCCCAAATCCTCTTGTGTATAGGTTATAACTATCTTTTTCTTTCTTAAAAAAAAAAAAAAAAAAAAATACTGAAAGCTTGCAGAGTAATTGTGTATGTTTAAAGTAGTTCTTCAATGAGGAGTGTTTCTGACCAAGATTAATAGATTAAACATCTTTCTCTCTAATGTAAATATAAACCATGCAGTTTACTAGCTCACTGGATCTTCATATTTCTTGTTTCTTACAGTTTATGTAAAAACATTTCTTTAAAACAAAACTAGTTTTTTTCACAGTTTATTAGATCAGTGTGCAATAATGAATCTAGTCTTCTAACTGCTCTTGAAAGTAATTTTTCTTTTAGATTTTCAGCATTTGGTTGGTTTATCGTTATAGACAGCAAAATGGATCCCACTCTTTTGTTTATATAGTTTTAAATATTGAATAAGTTGGTTTTACCAGGGGAAAGTGTATTATTTTGTATTTATGAAACTAAATTATTTGTCTGTTTTGCCATCTTATTTTTACTGTCATTTATAATGTTTGCCTTTAATGTGCAAATCAGTTTATAATTTCAATCAGCTAAATTATATATCTTTGCAATAGTATCATTAGATCCTAATTCTAAGAAAACTTTGCAAAACAAACTAAAAATAATGCATGTTTTTAAATTTAGCATCTTAATCTAATTTGTATAAACAAAGTTTTAAAAATATCCTAATTAACTGCATAATTGTAGATATTTCTTAGTTTGTAGCTAATTTAATCAATTTATTTGAATTCAAAACATTGATTGTTAAGATAAATTTTCTAATGAAAGTGAAATTTTTTGAATTTTCAATACATTAATACCTCATACGTTTAATTGCGATTGAGGAGATGTCTTCAACCAGTTTTATTGATAGAAAAGGAAATTTCTATATGAAAATCTAATTCATAGAATCTATTTCTTCTAAATTGGAAACCTAAATTTTAGCAGTGTATATTTATTTTGAATGGTAAGTTGAATTTAAATGCAGATTTGAGGTCCGTGTTGCAACATTTTTGAGTTCTTCCTCGTATAACAAAATGTTACATTTTAAAAAAGTTTATTAACCCATGTAAGGTTTAATATTTTTATTATCATTGGCAGAATCTTTACAACATGTATTTCTATGTGTCTACTGTTGCTAGTCAAATCTTATATTGTGTTAGTTTGATGAATATTTATTTTGAAAGAATTTCAATAAAGGAAAAAAAAAACAATTTTTTTTTAGAAATTTATTTTAACAAAAACATACAAAATATTCACTATCTCCATTATTTTTAATACAAATTAAGAAATCACATGGTAACTTCTTAAACTGGGTAATGTTCATCAAACTCGTTCCACACAGGAAAAATTAATTTTTCATCAATTTTTTTTTCAATTACTGGCCATAACAAATCATACACAAATTTACCCCCTTTTGGATTGAAATGAAGCCCATCAATTAGATAGTCAGGCCAATCCTAGAGTAAAAAAATCCCTTGTTTAATAATTATCAAAAAACTTAACACAATGAACTAAAATTTGCTTAAATTGCATACTTTCATACTCTGGCTAACAAGAGAAGCTTAGAAACGACTCATGTTAGTAAAGATAAGTCTTTTAGAATGGGAGGTTGACAGTTTTCCATTGGATAAGGTAAATACCATAATTTCCCCCATTTGAAATGGTTTTACTCTTGTTTCCATAACAGCAGACAACTCAGAGCAAGTTGGGAGGAGTTCTCATGATAACTACAGAGTATATCACAGCTAGCGTAGAGAACAAACTTTTTAATATAATCATCAAAGTTTTAGATAGTTATTTTAATCTTTCTTTTTTTCTCTAGTATGATAAGCAATTTCAACTATATCTATGAATGTGTAATTTTGAAATAGGGAATGATTGGTAAGTCCAGAAATTACACACTACTTTTTTTTTGGTTTTATTCTTGATAATAGTAAAACAAGAAAGTTATGGTCAGATTTTAAAATAGTGTATAGGCTAGGACAACATATTATCACCAAGATTATAGTAATTACATTCATTAAAAATATGCTAATAAACATCAAACTTAGTGGTAAAGAAAAATTTCAGATCAAATCAGAATTATAAATTACTTTTGAAAGCAAGTGAGATTCGATTTATTTAAATATTTATAAGATAAATGCTTCAGTAAAATTAGCTCAAAAAGGGTTGTGGAAAGTGATCTCATTTGCATAGACTAAATGAAAGGCTCTCAAGTTTGTCCATACTTGTGAGCTTCAGACTTGACACCACAAAAATTTGTGGACTTTTAAAATTCAAAAATAAATAATTTCACAACAAAATGTGTAGTACAAAAATAACAAAATTCCACATCGATTGAGTACCAGGAAGTTAAACTTTCGATAAAATATAAGCAAACTAATTACAAGTTTAAAAATCTTACAATACACAGGCTCAAGAAATTTTTTTAATTCTAACAATAGAAAAAATTAGTAGTTTCAACAATTTAAAATTATTTTTACTTAATTTGGCATTTAAAGAAATCATAAAACAATGAAAAATTCATATTTACTTACCCACTAGAGCTGTTTGTCAAGAAAAATTGCAATAGTTCTCTCTCAACACAAAAATTGGGAGCACAATTACACCTATAGTTTTAAGGAGAAAGGAAATATGCCTATCCACAGATATATGTGCCAAAATTACTCTATAATCATAGAATTATATATTTAAAACTTTTGCATAAGAAAAACTAAATTAAATTTTAATTGCCACATTTTTATAAAAGCAATTCCCCCCCCCCATTATTGTGGTATAAAAGTTCAAGGATTAAATTATTACTTTTATTGGCATTGCAAAACCTTTCTTTTAACTCATAAAAACATTTTAAAAGCACAAAGGAAAAGAGATATTTCAGCTGATCATTTGAATCTTTGCAAATTAAATAGCAATTTGGACAGTATAATTGGTGAATTTGGTGGCTGGTTCATATTTACGTATGTAAAATTTGTATTCCTGCAATTGATGCTGTAAGACATTATAATCTTAAACACCTGTTCTGTCAAGTAATAGGAAGTGCTTCACAATAGATTGGAATTCAAAGTGGCTAGACAACTATTTTCTTTCCCTTGCTAATACTATCAATACTAAAATAAAATTTCAGAACAGTGATATTTTTTTGTTGTTGTGGCAATAAGTAGTTAATCATACAAAAAGGAAAATTTTCTAAAAATCTGAATTTCTAAGTTTTTGTCACTGTTGTATCTTGATTTTTCTATTGTAAACATACAATAAAATAGACTTAATTAGTAAATGATCCCTAAGTCAAGTTCATGGACAGTGTACTGAGCTATGTATAGAACAGTGCAAGAAAGTCATCAGCTCTTTAGTGTATAATCATCCAGTGAATAAATCATCCAGACAGGAAAATAACATTTTCTTTCGCTATGGTAAAAATATTTGGTAAAATTTAGATGATCCCTGTGAGCAGCAAAAATGTGAGATATTTTCAGTTTGATTTCAGAATTGCTCATGTGAAGCGCAGGAATCTTTCTGCCTGAGAGTACACATTTTGCATACCATATGAAAAATGATTAGCTCTTCTGTACAATATAGAATTGCGATTCAATGACTCTGTTGTGAGAATCATGCTTTCTGAGCAATTTATTATGGCGGCAATCAGCATGTAGATGGAAAAAAAAAAATTCAGAAAAGAGAAATAAATATTCAACGAAAATAAGCACCTTTAAGTGTTCTTAAAAAACCAAAACCTAAAATAAGCAATTTATAAAAATGCTAAACTTACCTTGTCTATAATATATTGAGATGATTTGAAATGATATAGTAATTTATGGTTAGAAATGCTTGGCTGCTATGCTGATGTACACAGAAATATGAAAGATAAAAACTGCAAGTGAATATTCATTTTAATTACAAATGTACAAAAAGAACATTTGTAAAAAAAAAAGTTTTTCCCATTAACTGCAATGTAAATGCAGACCTCACATCCACACCGAATAGAACTCTAAATATTCTGGAATAATCTAGGCTCAGTTTGAATTTCTTCAACTAGAACTTCAAGAAAGCATTTCTGATGTTGCATTATGTGATTTCAAGTCGAAAGTTCTTTTAAAAAAGGAAATTCCTACTTGTGATAAATTATAAGTCTCTTCTGACTCCAGTTGAAAGAACTAAACTAGGAGTCTGCTGAAGAAAAAAAAGAAGATTTACGTTAAAAAAATATACTAAGTGATTTATGTATTACTAATTTATTTGAACTCATAGTTTAGAAAATTTAATCCAGTGGTCCATTTTAAGCTATGCCATATTCATTTTCGTACATATGCAGGCGTTTTAAAAAAGTGCTTATTTTCAATTATTGCTTTTTAAAAGACCTTAAAGGTGCTTTTTTCATTAGGTGTTTTTGAAAAGTGCTCAATTTTCACTTTACCCTGTTGATTTTTGCCACGTATTATGCAAAAAGACACTGTTCATATTATTCTATTCAATGTTTTTATAATTAATTCAATCCCAATCTATTTCAGCATACTGTCGGTCCTTAGTGTATGAAAACGCCATTCGTTTTATGATTCAAAATTTCATGATTTTTGACAATTGTCAAAAACTATGCCAACAAAACTAAAGTTTTTTTTTGACATGACTGTAAAATCCCGATAAAATCATCAAAAATTTGCCAACCCTGCCTAATTGTATCTTTTTTGAAAGTGCTTAAAAGGTGCTTATTTTTTGTTGAAAAATTTGGCTACGCACCCTGATATGCTTTTCAAGCTTTGTCTATTTTCTTACTGAGCTGTGTTGAAAATAAAAAGCTTAGAATCGATAAGCATTAATTGAGCCTTTTAAGAGCAAGTACAACAGAAATCAAAAACAAAAGCATTAATTTAGCCTTTTCAGAGCAAATACAACAGAAATCAAAAACAAAATTATGCTTCTAATTTTTTGTATTAATGGGATAGAAAATATGAAAAATTATACCAGTTAATTACCTTCTCTTTAATCATTTCTTCATATATATTTACATAATCAATATGCAACTTTTTGGCTAAATTTATACAAGCAGAGGCATATTGAGAGGTTTGTCGTTCTCCAGTAGGTAAATTTCGACCTGAAATGCACTAGAATATTTCACCAGAAATATAAAAATATTTTTTAAAAAAAAGAGCATTTAAAATATTAGATAAGATTGAAAGATAACAAAAATTTATAGCATTATCCTAACAGCTACAATTAATAAATTTCAACTATAATTTTGTTCAGGCTAATTTCTTTTTTTCTTTTTACTTATCAAACTATAGTAGAGCAAGTAAGAAAAAAAGATTAAAATGTGTAAAAGACTATTTTTGAAACTTTCCATTTACAACAATTATATGAATGATTCTCCAAAAAATCTGACATTCAAAAGCAATGAAACACTATTTAAGAAAAGTGAGGAAAACTGATTTGGATGATTTTTTATACGTAAATAGCAAAATTAAAAAATTACAATGTATAATATTTAACTACCTTTTAAAAACTAATGATCTCAAAATTGCATTTGTATAATTTTATCAGAAAAAATTTAAATAATCTAAATTACCACACGCTCTATACCTCAAATTGGAATTAGGTGACAGCTTGGCCGAATAAAATAAATATCCATCGTCAGTTTATTTGTGAAAATTAAATAGGATTAAAAACTAATTTAGAATTTTCCCTCCCTATTTCTATCTCTCTAACAGTTGAGTTAGCTACATTTTATTACAATTTTGCTAATATAGGTTTAAATTCCTTATGCAGATTTGGATTATTTTTTAGTAATAAAATAATAATATGGAGCTTCGGGAAAATTGCATAAAGAATGTTAAAATTATTTTGTCTATTGGTCTATATGAATATTGAATTTATGTTACAAATGTCTTGAATTATGAGTAGACTAGAGACAAAACTTATTCTTTTTGCTCATCAATGCTTTGAAATGGAGTCAATATACGTATTGCAATATTTGCAATTTTAAACATGCAAATACAAACCATGATGTTTGATTTTAAAATCACACAAATATGAAGCATGATGTTTGATTTCAAAAATGCCAGAAAATTAATCGAAGGCCGGCCGCCAAGAGATGGTTAGAGGAGGTGGAGAAAGACCTTAAGATTCTAAGGGTCCGACACTGAAAACAAAGAGCTAGAGACAGGCGACTTTGGAGAAAAATTGTTAGTAAGGCTATGGTCCAACATGGACTGTAATGTCAGGGAGTTAGTTAGAAAATTAATCACAATGTTACATTTTAAAATTGTGTGAATACTAATCGCAATCTGTGACGTTTAAATCACAGGCATATGAATCCCCATGCATTATTTGTATATAAAATTTTCGTCGATGTGGTACTCAAATACCATATAGATTATAAATTTCAAACCAGGTCGTAATGCTTGAATTGAAATTCATGGAAAATAAAAGCGAATCTGAAGCATTAAATTTTGCACATAAACTATAAAAATTGCACAATAAAAGCAAAATTCAAATGATAAATTAATTAATTCTAAAAATAAAATAATGTATAATTAAGTATTGAGGATAATAAAGCTAACATAACAAATTTAAAGATAGATGGAACATTATACATAGAGCAAAAATTAATTCATTGTACAAAATCTACAATTATTAGCAAAATTAAAATGAAATGAAAAGTGAAAAGAATAAAAATAAGAAAAACTTACCCTAAAAAGGTTCATTTATACCAGAATATCCAAAGAGAATAAGGTATATTTTGTGCTATGTAGACTAAATTAAAAAAAAGAAAAAAAAAAAGGAATGAACCACGAATTAAAGGGCAGAAATAGACATACTATACTTTTAGTTCTATAAACGAAAACCTTTCTCAGTGTCTAATAATGAAATGGCAGTTGAGAAGTAAAGAGAAAAACATACAAAGTCGTTAAACCAATAGGGACAGAGGGACAAGTTTGAACATGATAATCAAAGAAGGGAGATAAGAAGCAGGTCTGAGGAGGTGTAGCAGGAATTCCAGGGTGCAAAAGATTAAAGTCGAATAGATTTCCAAAAAATAAGAAAATGGTGATATACTAGAAAGATTATTAACCAAATTATTACAATTTTTCAAATTATAAAATGATCCTCAGATATCAAATTTGGTACATGAAGAGCAGTGTTAAATGATTGTAGCAGAGGAACCTCAAACCTGTGGATAGGGATGGACCTGTGATGGAAGATCAGTTAAAGGACACAAAAAATATGTAAGAAAATAAAGGGTTAAGTTTATCAAAAATAATTCAAACATTATTTTATATATTGATCACATCAACTAGCATTTAATGATTGCCTAGACATTTATACAGAATAATAACACTTTAACCTAAGACATAAGGAATTTTTACTAAACACTAAATTTTTTTAAAAATACCTATTTGCTTGCAAAATGCTATCCAGTTTTCATCACAATAGGGTGGAGGGGACATTAAAATGATTTTCTCTTTGGCAACACCAATTTTCTGAAATACAATATACATATTAGTCTCAATTATAAATACTAGCCCTTTTGGCAACCAGCTTGGTCGCTTGTAATTCATGATACGTGTCTGGCGTCAACTTACTATATCATGCGACTTAGTTTGGAACCAAGCACTTTTTCATTTAATGTAACATTTATATGCTAGTTTTGTATCAATCAGAATAAAGAACTAAACGGATTGCATTAGATGAAAAGGTGCTTGACGATATGCAATGTCGAAAAATAGTTAAGTTTACATGAGACAGTAAGGCCTTTTGGTAACAACACATTTTAATATTTAATGTCAATGAAAAAAAGAGCTTCACATACAACTAAATTGGATTCCTAACTTTCACTTATTATGTTGAAACCCCTAAGAATTGTGAAAAGTTTAACCAACTTGTAGTAAATCAAATGGGCAAAATTAGGAGAATGTATCTCTCCAAAACACCATTTCCCTTTCTAATAACATGGAAATACCGGTTTTGTTATGCGAAGACTGCAGCTTAAATAAGACTTTTTACATGCAGAACCGTCAGTGGGTTAAAGGCATTATCAGGAGATTAAACTTATTTTTTTAAGTAAACATGATAAAGCCCGAATTTATGCAGAAGTTAAAAACAATGAGACAAATAGGATGCTGGACAACCACCAAAATTACATTTAAGTGAAAAATATAATTACAGTACAGATTTCTAATGAAGTTGCTTAAACTCAATTATTAAATCTGTATTTTTTTTTAGAATCTGAAGTGTAGTTGACACTAAATTTAAAGAATCCAAAAATAAAATTAACTTTATAATGTGAGGTCGCTATATTGTGAGAACACTACTAAACTATAGCTAATATTTATTCATAAATACTGAACTTATTTTTGACAAATGCTAATCTTTTATCCACTTTTGCCAAAATTTTAAAATGATCTTCAAAACATACGTCATTGGCTAGGAGCCATTTTTGCTAATACGACTAGAGTTTGAAAACTTAAGCAAAAATAAAATCCAGAAGACCATGAAAACCAAGATGTTTCACCTGTGTAGAATGGCAATATCAAAAGAAATAGCAGTTTGAAACACTACTGGGAGACTTTTGACATCCATTGATTCATGGCCAATGGAAAAATATTTAATTAGAAAGCTCAAAAATGTTTAACACCTGATTTTGGAGTAATTTTTTTTGGTATAAAAAAAAGAAACAAAATTTCAGTTGTTGTATTGGAATGAAAAGTTCAGCCGAGACAATCTAATGGGCGCCAAAATAACATTGCCTCTAAGAAGTAGCATATGGGATTTCATGCAGTAGCAGTTATTGTAATGGAATGGTTACAATATTTTTTAACAGAATGAAAATTTGCACACTTATAGAATTTTTGATGCTGATTTCAAAAATATTAACATTGGAAATAGTAAATGTTATAAAATAACCATTTATATTTTTGCTAAAATGGCTTTTTTGGTGCCATTTTGATTCACCCATCAAAGGCACTAATTGCTGTAACTCATCTTAAATTTGTTCCAGAACAATCTCTTTTTATTTTGTTGTGTTAGCCATTTATTAGTGAAAGCCAGAATTTACTAAGTTGAAAAATATCATCGCAAAGAAAAAGTCACTACATCCCTTGCTTTCATTTCTAACACATTGTTTGATTCTCAAAACATAATTGAAGACCAAATTATGAATATTTATACTTAATTTCATTCTTTTATTTCTCCCAATGATTGCATGGAAATGAGTTTCTTCAAAAGAAACTCACTTTAAATGATGATTAAGTTGAATTTTGGTATTTTTTCATTTACTTTTATCATATTGAAATTAAAAGATTTTATATCACCAATTGTCTTTCTGTACCAAATATTGTGTAGCATTGATTAACTTTGAAAGATTTTAGGTGCAGTTTAAACTTTTGGAATATATCAGAACTTCTTAGAATATAGAACTTTTTAAATGAAAAGTAGATCATAATTAAAATACATCAGTATGAAAAAAAAATATCAAAACGATGAAAATATTTCTCTTGTACTTCAAGATGAAGCAGAAAGCTATCATTGAAATGAAAAATGTAAAGCATAAAGTCTAATTAGTGAAAGCTTTTGTTTCCTTCCTGACAATGTGGATCATTACATACCACTAATATACAAGATACAAAAGCTACTAATATAGTGTAAACATGAAAACATTTTGTTACAAATATTGAGCATTTTACTGGTGGCTGTGCTATCACTGCAAAAGTGTTTTTAACTTGCGCTGCTAGAACTTGAGTTATAGGGTATAAGCACAAAAGGAAGTTTTTACGTCAGCAGTCATGGAAAGTCTGCTTGTGATAGAATAGTTCAGACTCTTTATATTCAAAAGCAAGTTTGGAATGAGCATTAGATAATCAACAAATGCATATGATGTATGAATACTGTTAAAATATAAAATGCACTTATTTTCATCAGCAACATTAAAATGATAAATAGCTCATCCCTTTCATATTATCCAAAAGAAATAGTTCTTTTTACATATATTCTTTGCGCAATTGACACTAACACCACAATAGAATGAACATACAGGTTCAATGTTGAGTAAAATACTATAGTGAGCAAACAGGGGAAAAAATATTCTTTTATAAGAAAAAAAAAAGATTCATAGTAGAGAAAATGCTTGATTTTTATTTAAAGATTTCGAGTCAATGGTGCCTTTTTAAAATTACAAACAATATCAAATTTTAGATTCTTTAAAATTAGTTTCAAATTCCAGATTAAAATTCCAGAAATTTTGATTTTCTTTAAGTAAAACAAATTGCTTGTAACTGTTAAAATTCATTTATTTCAAAATAAATGATTCATTCAAAAAATCTTAAGAGTTATCTAAATGGTGTTTAAGTAGTTGGTAATATAGTAGATTTCATTCTAAACAAAAAAAAATTCATATGAGCCGCACATCAAAATTTTTCTTTAACAGATGCTAGTGTACTGTTTCAACCATCTTTGACGAAAACCTTCTTGAAATTGACGCGTTAGACCAAATCAGCTGCTGAAGTTACTCAACTGTATTGCAGAAAAAAATGCAAAATAAACCTATTTAATAAATAAGTAGGACACTTGTTTACATGAAATTTTTAAATGACAGATTACTTTTGTTTGAACAAAATTAAAAAAAAATTATTAATTTGGGACAAATAGGAGTTACAGCCACTAATAGCCTTTGAAGTGCAAATCAAAATGGTGGCAAGAAAACCATTTTAGCAAAAATATAAATGCTTAAAACTTTTTAACCCTTTTACTTAACTTTAATATTATTGATATTTTTGAAATCAGTATGAAAAATTCTATGAGTGTACAAATTTTCATCAAAATCTGAAATGGTGACTGGATGAACTGACATGGAATGACCCATAAACGATTAAGATCAGACATTCTAATAAATATTAAATAACACATTGTTTATGAAATAGCAAACGATTTTTCATGTATTGGTTCTTATAATGGAAGGTTCACTAAATAAATTTAAAACTATAATAAATTTATGACTACAGAAATAATTTACTTGTAAATATTTTATGATTGCTTCTAAATTGTTCTCATAATCTTCAACAGAAACATACTGACAACTTTTAGGCACAACTTTTTTATCACAACTATCATTTGAACCCAAAAGAATAACAAATGCTGCAATGTCTGAAACATTTGAAGTGGAGAACATCTCTGGAAGAATTATACGGCAAAACTTGCTGTTGTAACCAGAAAATCCTCTGCTCACCACATCACAAATTCTTAAAAAAAAAAAGAACAAAAAAGTTATCATATAATACTGAAATAAGAAAATTCAATAAATATTATAATAGGAAAATTATGTTTTCTATACAAAATATATACAATAATAGAATAAAATACAAAAACTATAATTGGCTAAATTAAGTACTATTAAGACTTTTTCTCTAATGGTAGACTTGTTTTATTTTACTTTTTAAAAGATAATCAAAATTTAAGCTGCTTTTAAGAAAAAATAAAAAAGTTTTAATGAAAAAAGATGAGAATGAGATAAAAAATTTTTTTTTCTTTAATTGCTTTTTAATTTCTCTATAATATATACAATTTAAGATTAAAATTAGGTTGATTTTTAAATAATAATTCCCATCTATTAATTGTTTAAATCTGAAAAGGAAAAACATACCAACTTAATCAAATATTTTGAAAGCAGAATTAATAATTAAATAAGATATTTTTGACTAAGAAAATTTCACTAAAATAATACCTAAAAAGAACAACAACTTCAACTATTCTAACAATAAGAATAACAACTTCAACTATTTGCAGGGGTCTGTCCAGACATTTTGTGAAATGTCCTGTTTTTCGTAAAATTGTGAAAAAACTATTCATAATTTGGAATATAAAATAAACGTTAAGTCAAATTTTTTCAACCAGGGTCCTGCTTTTGCGAATTTGTGCAAATAGGGTCTTGTTATTGCTAAAAACCTTTTTAAGAAATTTTTAAATTGTAAATGGATACAAGATTCTGCTCAACAATAGCTGCTACTAAATTAGAGATGCAACACACAAATATTTGGTATTTAACCTATACTACTCAACACAGAATATTAATTTTGGACGAATAATGCAAACAAAATCTTTCACATTTTTAATAATTTCAATTGACAGATTTTAGATAACATAACTTAGTAATGTATCACTTTTAATGTGTTACGCATTAATAAACCTAAGCAATTCTTAAATTTATAATATTTTATTTAAAAAATTGCCAGAAATAAATTTTTATTTACATAATATTCTATTGATTAATTTTATGAATAAATATAAATTGATCAATTAGTTATTTACAAAAAAAAAAAATTATGATTTAATACTAATACGAATGCGCACACGACGTTTATAAAAGTAGAGATATTTTTTTACTAATACTAATTTCTTTCTTTCTAATACTTACTAATTTCTTTCTTTCTAATACTACATTTGGAATTTAAACTTAGGGAAACTTAGTTTAACTCGAACCGTTNAATACTAATACGAATGCGCACACGACGTTTATAAAAGTAGAGATATTTTTTTACTAATACTAATTTCTTTCTTTCTAATACTTACTAATTTCTTTCTTTCTAATACTACATTTGGAATTTAAACTTAGGAAAACTTAGTTTGCCTCGAACCGTTTTTCTCTCCCCCCCCCCCGGGAAGGGTTCATTCGATTAACAAAATAATAATGAAGATAAACAAATTTGTGAAGGGTCGGATCAAAAGATAAATTATTTCGTGAAGGGTCCGATAACGGACCCAAATTTCTTCTAAATAGAACCCTGATTTGTTATAATAAGAATAACTTTAACATGGTAAAATGTATTATACAGTCAAAGATCTTTATAAAGCATACCTCTAAATGGGAGGATTTGCATTACATAAAATTTTGTGATATATAGATCACTTAAAATATCATTAAACGCACTTACCTAAACAAGGCAATAGTAGTCTAAAAAGAATCGATATTTATGCTTTAAAATAATTTGAAAATACAAATGCTTTAAAAGGTCAAAAATATACACAGAAGTATTTATTTGCAGAAAAAAAAATTTAAATTATCAAAAGAATTGGAATCCATCAAATTTATTAATTTTGGTTTGCTTTTTGGGTTGTTAAGTTAATGTGGCTTGTAGCAAATTGCAGTTTATAGAATTGAATTATATTTATCTTCTATTGTTATTAAAACCATTGCCTAATTCTCCTTTTTTGCAACTTTCAATGAGCCCAGATTATGTAGCATTGGAGTAAGCTTTTAAATATTAAAAAATTAGACCACAAATGCATTTAATTTTCTCAAAACTGTGCTTTTCTCTATATTAATATTTTTCACCATTTTCAGAATAAGAACTGGCTAAAGATAGGTTAAATTTGGCTTAACAGTTATGACTCATGAGTATCTGTAGAAAACTTCCAGTAGTTATGAAAATAAGATATTATTCGTAAAAAGTATAATCTCTTATAATGGCAGAGCCTTCGAAAAATACCCTTAAGCTGGTATCTTAATTGCTGCTGAAATTAAAAATCATTTCTAGCTCCATTTCTAATGCATTCAGAAAATAGACACCAAAGCTTTCCTGATAATGAGAATTTTATAAGGGTCTCGGTGACCTCACATCCTGGGATCTTTGGAAGAGAGCGTGCAGAAGTTTCATTTAGCAACCTAACTTTTTAAGGTTAGCTGATCACTTTATTTGAGAAAGTTAACAAGTTATACAACTGTCTAGATCAGTCAGTGTTTTGTCCAACAGACCTTTATATCCACATTTTCCTTAAATTGATTAAATTTTTTTAGATTTATTTGTAAAGATTAAGTTTCTTAAAATTGTCATGTGCCAATAGTAAAATTGCAAAAGTAGTAACATATTACAGCATTTAATTTGTCTAATATAAAATAAGTCAGACATACCTTTGTAGTCTATTAGCTAATAAAGTACCCCACAATCCTGAGTTAGGATCGAAGCTTCTCTGTAAAAATATGCAAATTTTAAGATAGTGAAAATTCTATAATGGAATTAATGAAAGTTATAAGATCAAAGAGGTAACAAAATAAAGTCATAAGATAGATAACCAGATAAAGGTAAGCACAGGATGCAGAAGAGTTAAACATTTTAATATATTTGAATATATTTAGTTTAAAAATTAGAATAAACCAGTGAGGGTTGGTCTGAGGTTTAAGCCTGGTAAGTAGCTACATAAGACTACATAAGCAAGTGGTTACATAAGAGGGATACCAGAGTGTGTAAAGCACGAATCTTTTTCCCTCTTTTAAAAGTTTTTTTTTTGCTTGCTTGGTGAAAAATAAAAGTTAAAATGTTCTTACTTGCATTAAATAAAATGTTGAAATCTCTCTAATACTCTGGTAACAAAATAACCCTACAAACTGTGTAGCAAATCAGCAATACAGTATTCTTTGTCTTTTATAAATATATATATGATTTTTTATAACCATCGTTAAACAGCAGACTAAATTTTTGGGTCTACGACTACTAATGTTCAACTCTGTAGCCTTGTAATTTTGAACTTAATATAAAAGACAAGGGAACTCCTGGATCAAGTAATGGGAGGAATTTATCTTCGTGGAGGACTTTTGTTGGAACTAACTCGCATTTGTGTTACATGGAGAGGAAAACCACAAAAACTTCCCACGGTTAGCCCGACGGCAAGGGGACTCTAACCCATGATCCATCTACCACTAAGGATATTTTACATCAGCACTGTGGTTGGTGGAAGCCAGATGCGGAATTCAAATCAACTAGCTATTGCTGGAATTCGAACCCAGTTCAGCTCATTGGAAGGCAAACGCTCTACCACCTGGGACATCACGGCTCAGCATTTCTTGTCTTGTCTCTTTCAATCAGAGTTGATGGTATCGTGCCCTGATAAGACCTGCATTTGCAGGTGACAGCAACTCTTCGAAACTAAGGCCTATTAAGTTTTACTTAGCTTTTCTTAATGCCAAGAAAACCATTTGGCAACAGGAGGGGCACACTGACTTGCCTTTAGTAATTTTCTCTCTCATAATGTTCAAAGAAAACTGTTTTGTGAAGGTGAGCGATTTTCTACAAAAAATTGGAAGGTTGAAAATATTTGTGCAACATTGGTCTATTCACAAAAACAAATTACATTAAATTTCTAACAAAAATAAATAGGCAAAAGATGATTTCTGATTTCATGGAAAAATCAATAAATTGCTATGCTATAAGATGAGAATAAGAGACAATCTTTGAATTTCTTGCTGCACAATTCTTTTAAAGCAGGGGTTTCCAACTAGTGGCCCACGGGGCGCATCCAGCCCTCGAAGCCTTTTTTTGTGGCCTGTATTATATATTAGTTGTCATTTTTTTTTCGGAGAATTTTTGTCAAAAATCTTTATGGGTTTAAAATACTTTTATTTCGTTAAAAAAATCTAATCTCTTCGTTTCTGTGAAATTTAACATACCAACTGTGAAAAAAAAATTTTTCTCAGGTTTTCCATCCAAGAATATATTTATTCAAATAGAAAAATAATTGTGTATGCTGCTCTGTTTTATTTCGTTTTTTTGTATTTTGTGAATATAATTTAGCATGTGTGTATCAGAAATTTTCTTGAAGAACTTCTCCGATTTAACTTTTTGAAACCACTAATTTTGAACGAAAGTATTTACATTTATATTTTTTAAAACGCATAAAGGAGGTAATGAAAATCATATTTATTTAATTTCTTTGAATCGAATAGGGCGTGAGCGGAAAAGAAGAAAAAATTTCAGATGCTCGAGAAGTTTTTTTTCTTTTCTGCTATATATAGGTGCACATTAAAGTTATTGTAGCCAGAATTTTTTAATATGAAATTAAATATTTTTAAAAATCTACTTCTTATTTTAATTTGTAAGTCAATACTTTTGTTTTGCACAACTTGATAAAAATCTGACAGTAATATTTAATGTTTCTTCTAACATAAGAGTCCCATATAATATTTTGATAAAGTTGCGGCCCGCCATTTGACTGGTGTTTTTAATTGTGGCCCCCCGGCCTCATGTGTTGGAAACCCCTGTTTTAAAGAAAGTACCTATCTAAAATTTTCATTAAATTTTAAAATCAAAAAGAACATTAGCAATTGCAGGTTTAAGTTACCCTTTGCTCCATCTTAAAAGTAAAAACAAAATTTTACAATCTTTTAGTTTAAAAATAATTTAATAAATTTCCACTTTTCAAAGTGTATTATTAATTTAAACTTTTTATAATAATTTTGTTTTATTTTAGTTTATCAGTATATGATTTGTTAAAAATGCTTTAATTTTAGTCAAAAAAAAATTTCCCAAACATTAAATTACTTTCCTTTTAACTAGAGTAAAATATGTAAACTTGTTAGAGTAGAATAATTTTTTTTTAATTCTATTGAGTTTTTTCTCTTTAGTTTTCAATGTTTTAAAATATTTTCAATTAAAATTAAAATCATACATTAATTTCACAATTTTATCCAAGAAATTTGTTAAAGAAGACTTTAAAAAACATATATTACCACTTCATTTAATGTTGAGTTACAGATTCCAAAATTTCATGCATTTCTATATTTTTATTACTTAGGTTTTCTTTTTTGTAATTTTCTCACTATTAACATTAAGTCAAATTTAAACAAATTTGATAATTATGACATTGTTCATTTCCACTCTTTTCAATCGATTGTAATCTGAAATATATAATTTTTTTTTAAAAAAATATCAAAATACTGTTTCTTTTTTTATTTTTTTCTTCAAAATTTAGTGATTACATTTATATTTTTTCTATCTTATTTTTTCTATCTTATTGCTTTTCTTTAAATAATAATTTCAAAAGTTCTTATATATAAACAAATTAAAAATCATATTGTATTTATTTATTTTTAAAAGTGTCAAGTTTTTACTCAATTTTTAAGCTTTAATTTAATATTAATTTTAAAGTTTTAGTGATTAATTGAATCTTTTATACTAACTAATGTACTATTAGGTGACCCGAAAAATTAGTGTCGCTTATGTCACATTAAATTATAAACTATATTTTAACAAGATTATTGCTTTAATCAATGATGTAAATCTCCACATTATCAGAGACCTTTTGCAACTAGTCAGCAAAATATAAATGCCTGATTGATAAAAATCAGTTGTATTTTTGAGCAATTGGAAATTTTATAACCAGGGTTCGTGATTTTTATTTAAAAAAAAAAAATCAGATTTTTTATATTTTCATTCAAATGCACTATAAGAACTTTGATTCATGACTAAAAAACCTTATAAATGCTTAATCAAAATTAAATTGATATTAAAACCATATTATAAGAATATTTTAGAAGCATTGTCCGGAGAACTTATTAAGCCAATCGAAAAATCTTCCATGTAATTATAAAATTTATTTATTATTTAATTTAATAATAGTCAAAAAATTTTTAATTGTAAGGTATGCTACTTTTTAGATTATTTTAAAGAATGTAAATTTATATGGCAAAATACAATATTTAACAAACTTAGTCCCTGAGAAATAAAATTTTAAATATACAAATTTTTTGAAATTCAATATCTCAGAAACTATTCCACTGATAGCACTCAAATTTTGCAATTATATTCTTTAAAATAAAGTAAAAATTTGTATATCTTACAATTCCAAATTTCTTAAACTCTTATTAAAAAATAATTATTAAAATTATTTTTTTGTATGGAATTATCTTTGGATCATTGAATTTTATAATTGGGTGAAAATTTTTGTTAGATTCACTCAAAAAGTTCTCAAATATGTAAAAATACCCAAATAGTAAAACTAATATTAAGGGGTCCAAATTTTCAACTGTTTTTCTACCAAAACATTAGGACCTTATTTTGCAGACTGCAGTAACCCCAAATATCTACCAAAACTATCCAAGTAAAACATGCTTATTAAGAGAAAGTATGTATCTGTTTCCGATTTTAAAACTTAAAATATTGCCTGCAATTAATAATTAGCTTATTTGCGGTCAGCCTTTAAACTATTAACAGAGAGAGAGAGAGAGAGGGGTGACAAGCTAACTCGTCATTGCACTTGCATTATCTATTTTAATTTATGAAACCCAGGGAGACATAGAATATTCTAAAGTTTAATTTTATTTCATTCATTAAGTTTAAATGAAAGTTACTGGAATTTCTTAAGAATGTTTTACTACTATATAGTTTTGTAGCATACTGTGTAAAATTGCCAATCAACCAAGTGCTAAGATTGAGTCTTAGTATGTAAAAGATCAAATGCTATTTAAGGTGTTCCTCTTTTAGGCATTGTGCATGCAGTATAAGGCTAGTCTATAAATTTAAGTGAAATTCTGGTTTATTTTGTAAGGGAAGATTTCCGTAGCTTCATCTATGGCAGAATAATCCTAGGCAGTGGTTTGCGAGGAACTTAAATCCCAGAAGGGAGCTAACTTGAAGTGCATGAATCAGTAATTTATGGTTGGGAAAAATTACTGCTTTGGAAATAAAAACAAATAAATTTTTTTTATTGAAGCAAACATCCTAGATATACTTAATTCTACAAAGTTTATGAATTTTTGTAAGCATGGTAACAGCAATTTTATTTTCTTTGCTGTCAGTAAACTTAACGTTATAATAGATTTGACTTTTAAAAATACTATTGCTTGTTGATATTATATTAGACAAATCATAGTTATTTCTTTGCTGTCAAAACTTGTACTTTTTTTAAGATGTTTTTTTCTAGTAGTGAAATAAAAATTGAAACAATAACATTCAGCAAATATTTCTTGAATTTCATCAGCATATAAAACCGCATTAATTATTATGTAGTTTATATCCGTTTAAATTAACAAGATAAAATGATGAGGAAGAACATTTCAACTCAGATTTATAAAATAAAATTGCGAAATATAAATCTTGCTACCACTTTAAATATAAAATCTTCCCGTAGCAGCTATGTTATTTATAATATAAACTTCGCTAAAACTGCTTTTAATGTTTCGCTATTATTTGTCAAAATAATTGTAAGTGCCCATTTATGATTCTGTCAAAATGGGAATTTCATTCTGCAACATGGAAATTTCCCCCTTTAAGTTCACGGGAACTCTGCTTGCAATAAATGGACAATGTTTTGAGATTAAAATTGCATTGTTCATAAAGATTCGTTATAAATGAGATTACAAATGTAATAATTATATACCTGTGTTAAAGAATCACCAAACAGAATAACTTTTGGCCATTTCACTAATTCTTTAAAACTATCGGCACACGCATCAGGAATTTCTGCAGTTTCCATTTTATAAGACAAATTTAATTTCCTAAGGTATTCTATTATTCAGGTACGACATCGAACTAGTTACTCCGTAGAATGGTAGAAATCATATAAATCTCGGTGCGCTGCCGCGAAGCGGCATTAACCGATTCATCTGTAGTAGTAATTCGATGGTGAGGAGTAGTGAGGTGGAATGGAGATGGGGGGAAGAGGTGGTGCTTAGCACCAAAAATCGAGAGTGTATTTCGTGTGTTAAGGCCTGTTTACACGGTCCAATTTCTTGAATCCGAGAAATTGGACGGATTTCTCTGTCCAAGAAATTGGATGATTCGTTGACACTATCCAAGTTCTTGAATGTCGCTGATTCGNCACGGTTTCTTATAAGTAGTCTGCGCAGATTATTTAAAAAGCAAACTACTTGTGCGCATGAACCCAAATTCTATATTAAAAGTCTGGTAGAATGGTAGAAATCATATAAATCTCGGTGCGCTGCCGCGAAGCGGCATTAACCGATTCATCTGTAGTAGTAATTCGATGATGAGGAGTAGTGAGGTGGAATGGAGATGGGGGGAAGAGGTGGTGCTTAGCACCAAAAATCGAGAGTGTATTTCGTGTGTTAGGGCTACGTCATATCCCTAAGGAAAAAGGCAGTGATTGGGCTAAATTTAGTGTTGTCGTCAATTAATTCAATATCTAGGAGTGAGTTAAAATTGCTGGTGGTACAGGTTTTTGCTTCATAGTTACTCCGTGTATAACTTACCTGCTTATAAGATGCATGTGCCAAGTTCAGAATATTTGTCGCCTTAGCCAGTTGTAAACAGTGATAAATTGCCAAATGTTGTAAACCTATGATCGTACAAGTGGATGGATTGAGTAGTATGCAAATTATGCTTTTGGATTGTGTAGTATGCAAATTATTGCTAGATGACGCTGTTACGAAACTCTATCAGAAAGTAAAATATTCTGTCGTTCTCTTCTTCTGCTCAAAATAATAAATCTGACTCCAACTTTTAGTAAAAAATAACAACATTTTATTTACATAACAATTTTAAGACGATCATTTTTTGTTCCACAAAAAGAAGGAAAAAAAAAAACGTTGCCATAGCAACTCGGCAGTTTTAAAATAAATCAAAAAGTTAGCTTTTAGCTTACATGAAAAGTATTTAACAACTTTTAACAGACGCTGTATTTAAACAGTTGTTGTAGTTGCAGTTCATTAACGTCGCATTAGAGCTGCACAATGGGCTATTGGCGACGGTCTGGGAAGCATCCCTGAGGATGATCCGAAGACATGCCATCACAATTTTGATCATCTGCAGAGGGGATGGCACCCCTGCTTCGGTAGCCCGACGACCTGCACGCGAAGTCGAGCACTTTGCGGTAGAACAGTTTAACGAGGACCCATACCGCACACCCTCGGTCCCTACGCAGACTGATCCAAGTGGTCACCCACTCGCATACTAACCGCAACCACTGATGCTTGACTTCAGTGATCTGTTGGGAACCGTGTCTACAATCAGTCCACTGCGGGACCTGTATTAAAACAGAGACATATTATACAATAGAAACCTATCCCGCCAAAGCTAAAATGGTTTAAAAGGATTATTATTATATTATATTAGCTCGTTGTTTGTCTAAGATAAGTACTCTGCCCGCCACAAAGCCTGCGGCAGTCTGGTGCTATGGAAACAAGAAGATGGCATTTTAGGAAGGGTAGCTTCGATGATAGCTTGTATGGGCCACCAGTAGTTGTAGTAGGAGACTTATTTAATCTGATTCAAGAACTTTTTTAAGATTCGCGTGGACATTTCTTTCTTACTTGAAATGATACTCTTTACTCAATCGGTTGCTATTTTTTAAATACGAACTAAAAAAAGAAGAAAAAAAGTGAACAAATTCTGACATTAAGGGTAGTGCAGGTTTTTTTAATGTTACTTTTTAATTTTACGTTATTTATTATGAATATTCATTGATTGTTAGATGGTTTAATTTCTAAACTTTCACATTTTTTAAAGCAGTTAATTTTTTTTATTATTTGAATTTTCTGGAAAAAGTGAAACTCTTAAACTTATTAACTCTGATTTTAAAAGGAGATAAAACTTTCGCTGAAATTAAAAATAATTCACGTTATCTGTGCCGGAGAAATATTAAATATCGTTGTTTTTATTATTTATTTTTTACTTTTTTTTGAAACTTAAAACAAGTTACCGCAACTAGGATGAAATCTAAAACTATCAACGATGATTTTTATCAGCACACATCAAACCATCTGAAATTATTTAAGTTTTTTTTGCTTAAATTACGTTTTCTTACTCGTATTTTAATGTACCCTGTATGGTTTTCCTCACTATTTATAAAAAAATAATTTTAACAGTTTTTTATAAGAAAATTTATTATTTTTTTCTTCTTAATAACCAATTTACTATGTATGATAAATTTATAGATGAGTTATTTATTAATAAAACATTGAGCTGCTTTAAACAATTTTATACACTTTCCATATATATCCTATTAATCAATGTTATTTCTATGAATAATGATTCATAGAAATAACAATTTCAATTTGCCGATGTTCTCGAATTTCTCTCAGAAATTTGTTGCACCAAAAAACAATGTTCGGCCTTTCTATTAGTAGTTTTCCTTAGGGAGTGCAGCGCTTCCATCGAAAGTTTAATGAATGCAAAACTTTCATCAATGAATCTTTCTCCCATTAGAAATTGATTCTTTCTCGAAGAACAGGATTAATTTTCGAAGCGATGGCACTTTCTTGTCCTTTATATAAAACTCTTGGATGATTTGCCGCATAGCACACTTGTCGAAATCATCTAGATCAGCAATTCCACCAGATTTCTTTTTCCGGAACTGCGCAACACACCTTCTTCTCCTAAACAAGAAACTCCTCTTTTTATTTTTTTAAGTGTGAAGTCTGACACTCCAGTAGCCAGACATGCTCTTTGAGATGGTTGACGGAGAGGTAATTTAAGGGCTTTTTCCTTAGCTTCATTACCAAAAACTCAAATACATTGTGCACAATTTATTTGAGTTTAAGACTAATTTACAATTTTGCTTATTAAAATGTATAAGTTTGCAATTGCGAAAAAAAGAAAAATAGTCCTAACAAAAAAAAATAAAGAGAAGAATTGAAAAAGAATTTTTTTAAAATTGTAATGCAATTTTTTTTCTCCAGATTATTTAAACTAACAATCATTTAAAAAATGCTAGTTTAAAGTTTATTTCATGCATTCTACCTATTTATTAAAGCTTATTTATTGCACGTTATTCTGATACTCATTGTACCTTTAAAACTAAAAGATTTTAGTGGTATAAAGCTACGAATTTTATGAATTGCAAATATAAAATAAAATAATTACAAAAAATAGAAATTAATAAAATAATCATGAAAATAAGAAAATTTTTATAAATAATAAAATAAATAAAAATGGAAGGTTACAAAATTTTGTCAAATTAAATAACCCTTATTGATCATTAGTTCGTTAAATCTAATATAATATAATTTTTCTAAAGTTTCATCATCTAGTGATGAAATTTCTGAATGAATCAACTACACTTATTTAGAAAAACACTCAAAGTATGATTTTTAGAAAAGCTAATAAATAAAGATGTATTTAATTTGTAATCTTATGTTATTTTTTATTTAAAGAATATTTCTTTTTTTTCGAAAACTGTTAGTAAATATAGTTATAAGTGAATAGATTCTCTTATAATAAATGCAATAATGCAAACAAGTTTAAAACAAATACTACATATTAAATTCTTGAAGAAAGATCAAAGATTAAAATAAATAGATATTTAATTTAGAAAACGTAATTATCAAAATGAAAGAAGAATTCATTTCTTTTGGGAAACAACGCTGTGAACTCTGAAAAAGAGATCACGCCCCCCAAGCCAAGGGAGAACGATCAAAGGATAAACAAAAGCCACTGGTCAAAGCCAAAACGTCACTTCCTAGGGGGAGGGTCCGAACCTTTGTTCGAGGGCTGAGATTCACTTCACCGCTCTCTTCGGGAGTTG